TGCTCTGGATGCAAACAGCAATCGTAGTAGAAGACCTTGACGTTGGGCGTCTGCCTGAGCAGGTACTGGATAGTGAGAGGATCCATCGAAGAGGGAGTAAGACGGAGAGTCGTCAGTGTCTGCGATAGAGGAGGTGTCTCTAGTGGCCACTCGAATGAGCCGTCCACTCCGTCTGCCTCGTCCCATAGTCCGCCATAGTCATCATAGTTGCCCCCTCTCAATGAGCACGTAACAATATCGAGCGACTCTATCGCCGGCAGATAGAAAAAGAGAAGTAGAGTCTCTTGCTCGCTCCAGAAACTACGCTCCCACGTTGCGGCCGCCCCCTCCGTCTCTTCCAAGGTAACGCACACAGTTTTCAACTTGGCGAACCATAATGTTTGTCCGTCATCTGCTTCCGACGCTGCAGCTTTGCTCATGATGGCATGCTTCATCATAGCAGAAAACCACCGGTTATTCAATAAGAATCCCCACTCCATAGTCATAGATTCCAGATGCGCTTGGCACGTGCCGACGAGAAGTGCGATCAACATTTGCTGCGCCTCTTCTTTCCAACCACAGAACCACGCCTGGAACCCTTCCTCTTTTACATGAGCCTTGAACATCTCATTCTCCCAGTCTTTGCCACTCGTATCATACTCAATGTCTGGGAAAATAGTGTCGACAAGGTCTAAGTAGCCGTACTCAACACATCCCTTGGCGCAGAACTCCAGTCTCTTGATCAGCTGGATGTAATCGGGCTTCTTCGTGAGCGTGCGGATCAGAGACTGTATTCTAGGCGCTTTCTCAGTTCTTCTCTGCATACCACGCTGCGATCCTCTAGGAGTTTCTTTTACATAGGTGTTGTCCCACGTGAGGGTGATGGTGTGGTACGCTGCCGGTATGGCGACGGCGTGGAGGGCCTTGCATGTTTGAGCTAGGTTGATGATGGCGCGGCTTCCAAGATCGGCGAGTATGGAATCGAGTAGTTCAGCAGGAAGCTCCGTGATTGATGCCATCCTGATTTCTTCGAGAAAGAGTGAGGGCGAGGTATAGGCGTGAAGGAAGACGGAAGGTGCAGACTCGGATATAAGGGAATTAGGCAGCCGTGTCAGTGCGCGACTTCCAAAACGGGTCGCCTTGTTGACTCGCATAGTACGCTATCGTCATTCATAATCGTGAGATCGTGTATCTATATCCATATATCCAAGCGTATTATGCAGCATCTATAGCGAAGGCTTGTTCATGTGCGGAAACACATGTCCTAGCCCACCACCGGGGTCCGTTTTCGTCTCGCTAGGACTCGCCCTTGACGCCGCATCGACTGTTGGTTGCAATTCTGTCGCAGGATGATCTCTGCCCTGATCATCGTCCTGTTTCCTTGCCAGTTTGTTATCGACATGGTTCTCGAGCCATTTATGTTCCGCTTGGTTCAACCTCAGACTCTCTTCCACGTCGCGCGTGAGCTTGTCGACCTCGTCTTCCAGCAACTCGTCGTGGCTCTTCTTGACTGTCTCCTTGGATGCCACGGGTGCCTCAGCAGGCGCGGTTGTTGCCCAGAGCGCTTCCAGCTCGTCTGTCCACCCGCATGCCTCTGCCAACTTTCTCACACCGCTATCGCAATCCTCCAGCAACAAAACATCGTCTGGCCGTGTTCCCATATCGCCGACCCTCTCTGAGTTTATCAGCAGACGCGGGGTCTCGTCTTCGCAAAGTTGCGGTAGTGAAGAGAAAGGAGCTACGCTGAGCGACGTGCCCATGACTATGCACAGATCGGCTTGTGCTGGGAGGCTTCGGTTGTCGAAGAATGCGGATGGCAACTGCTCTCCGAAGAAGACGATTTCAGGCTTGACGAGTCCGTCGCATAACGAATCGACGCAGCGAGGCACCGATTTGTTCTGGATGGCTTCGTTCATGCGCTCCTTTGGGTACGACTTCTTGCAGTCGATGCAACATTGCCTGTACCGAATCAGTATTGCTTGAAGCATGTAGAGAAGCGCCTACTCACGTCGCGAAACTGCCATGCGCCTCTATTATCTTGTCACCGGGGACTCCAGCCTCACGCTCTAGACAGTCGATGTTCTGAGTGAAGAGCTTCAGTAGCAGCCCTTTCTGGTAGAGCAAGCTTATGAAGGAATGTGTTATCGTCGGCCTGAACTTCCCGGGGTATAGTTCTTGGGCGAGAGAGTAGAACGGCTCGGGCGTCTTGCGGAAGAAATCGATGTCGAAGACGGCTTCGGGGTATGGCAGGTTCAGGCGAGCGAGATTGGCATATAGGCCGGTTTCAGGTGATCTGAAGTCTGGTATGCCGGCTGAAGTGCTTATGCCCGCGCCTGTCTTCCCAATGTCAGCACGCGCCTAACCATGCCAACGCGCTGGAACTCACCATGACGACAATTTTCTTCGCACGCCCATCCTTGATGTATTGCGCAAGAGCCTCCAAGGTACGCGCCGATAAGGTCTGAGGTGGCGCATTTGGGTCTACAACCCGTGACTCGTCCTGCCCCATCCTGCCTCTTTTGCCTTTGCTCTTTCGACCTTTTTCAGCGTTGCGCCACGGCTTGTTCTGTTGCGCCTGTTGGCGGTGCGCTTTATGTTTGCGTCCTATTTTGAAAGATTCGAATGCGCGAGTGTAATAGTGAAAACGAGAAGAACGTGTGACTGTGATGGATAAGGCTGTGGGACGTATGACAGGCGCGTATTGCATGCCGTGGTGGGCGAAAGTGCCCCACGGAAATTATATCTCGGGAGTCCGGCGGAGGTGCTGCGTCATGGTCATGCAACGCCAGCGACGCCTCCTCACCAAATGCTCCCACCGACACCACACACCTCACGACTCACGGTGCGACGCAAATTGTTGAAACATTGCTAGTCGATATATAATACCTCAATATATGTAAGCTACTTAAAACACGGCCCCAACTGATACAAGCATTCTTCATTGGGACAAGTCCCCGTTACCTCCTCTCCCGAGCAACTCACGTTCGCCACGACTTCCTTCCCATCAATCGCGTCTTTGACGTCCTTTAACCGGTTGTCTCGCGCGCTTTTCTCAACAGTCTCTCGAATCGCCATGCAATCGAATTTCCCCTGGTCTGTTATACCCGTGAACTTGAGCACGACCTTCATATGTGCGACTTCTTTCCCTTCTCCGTCCTTGACGCTCACTCGAACATACTCGGGCGCGTTACACCACCTCAATATCTTCTTCCTCGCATTAAAGGAAAGGCAAAATTTCGGGTTGCAGCCGGGGCAGATCGTAGACTCCTGGTCAAACTTGTAACAATTCTTCTCATCCTCGCCACTCTTCTGGAAGGTATCTGCGATCTGAGCGATGAAGGCCTTCTGTAGCGACTTTCCGTTGTACTTGACCCCTCCTTCGTCTTTACCGGGGATGTAGTCACTCTCAACATTGACTTCAACGAAGTTTGTTTTCTTGTCCACGAAACCATCTTTGTCCGAGTACTCTATGTTATCAAATTTGTCCTTCTTAGTTTTGCAGGTATTAGCGCCAGTTTTATCGTCGTCGCAGCGGTTCTTGAGCGTATCGATCAGGCCTTCGGATATATAGCGACCGTACCATTGGCCGACGTGTTGGCGTTGGTTACTTATCTCGATTGAGAAGGTGTACGGTTGAGGACCTGAAGTGGGACTCGGGGTGGGAGAGGGTAAGGTCGCCAAGGTAGTACTAGGAAAAGATGTTGATGTGCTGACTACATTGGACATAGAGATGAGGGTCGAGGAGGCAGTGGAAGTACTGTTTGACCAGGCTGACGAAGAGCTGGTGAGGACAGTCGGGGAAGTTGGAGTCGGCACTTGCGTTGGAGTCGTAGCCGATGAGGTCGCCGTGGCGATGCTTGATACTGGTGGTGGGCTGTATGTTACCCAGGTTGGTGGTTTGCTCGCTGGTAAGTCAGTTCAGCATCACGCATTGGTCTTCTAGATGGCACTAACTTGCGCCCTTATTTCCTCCTGCGCTTCCGACGAGCAACGAAAAGAATGCTACGCCAGCGTAGTACTTCATCTTTGCAGTATTCGAAGTTCGCATCATGGATCACTCATTTTCGAAGGTTGCGAAGATGCTGTGATGTGTCTTGAGAAGATATAGCGACCTGTCAGTTCAATGTCGCAACCCGTCAAGTTCGTTACGTGAAGTTGGTGGTCAGGAATGTGCCGCTTGCTGCTCAGCCATTCCATCATCGCGAAATCGTTGATCAATGCCTCAGCGTCACGGACTTTACGCTGTAGAATCTGCATGGATGGATGGTTACGTCAATCTTCATTTGAGGGTGGAACTACCCCATTATCGCAAAACTAGAACGAGTCTATCTGATAGACTTTTCGTATTCGAACGCCTTTGAAGCCTTCCGAGGTTGTTGTCACCCAGCTCAACCTGTGGGCATGACGAAGATACGACGAAGAGATATACTCAAGTGCCCTTCCCCCCCTTGCTTAGATACACTCGCAGAAACAAATCCTGCTAGGATGAGATCCGAAGGGTCAGAAGGGAACGGCCCTTCCGAGATCGCCGCGCGTCGAGTCATGGACACTACGCCCCGCCACTAGCTACACTACCGACCAAACTCTCGCACAAGTACAACAGCTATAACAAAACACCGCATCCTATAACGTCGGAACGTACTACAACAATGCGGTACAGCCAATATTTCTCCAAGCTGGAAGTTCCTGTGGCCATCGTTGCTTGAATATTGGTAAGGGTTATGATTTATGACCTCCGCGCCTCACCGCTAGGTACATAAGCGCTCCAGAGCTATACCGGAAAAGGACTTCCTTTCTCCATCGTGGGAACGGTCCGAAGCGCTATGAGGGGTTCCAATAGGCTCGGAGGTTTGGTACGTCGGCTTACCCACTGAAAATGCTTAATAGTCGGCAGTTATGCTGGTCACTTCAATTCCTTTCGTTTGTGGTTGCGTTGTTCAAGGAGCATTGTATACGATTCTCGACCGACCAATTTTCTACAACATTTCATCCTACCAGCAAGTACTCACAAATCAGTTACCATGTCTCTGAAGGACAAAGTCATCGTCATCACCGGAGCTGCGTCAGGCATGGGCCTCGAAACCGCCCGCCTGTTCGCCAGCAAAGGCGCCAAACTCTCGCTCGCCGACGTACAAGAGAAGCCATTGAAAGAGCTCGAGTGCGAACTTCAGAAATCAGGTTCGCAAGTCATGACCCAGGTCGTCGACGTGAGCAAGCGTGGCGATGTCGAAGGCTGGATCGTAGCCACAGTCGAAAAGTTCGGAAAGCTTGACGGTGCAGCCAACCTCGCAGGTGTAACTGGCCGACAAGGCGCCGTCGCCGGTATCGAGGAGGTGGAAGATGACGACTGGGACTTCGTCATGGCTGTGAATGTTACTGGGTTGAGAAACTGTTTGCGCGCTCAGGTACCGCACATGAATGAGGGAAGCTCGATCGTCAACGCGGCCAGTATCCTGGGCATCATTGGTGCTCCAAAACAGTTGGCGTATTGTGCCTCCAAGCATGCGGTGGTCGGGATGACGAGAAGCGCAGCGAAAGAGTTGGGGCCGAAGAAGATTAGGGTCAATTGCTTCTGTCCGTAAGTTGACATGTTGAAACACAATTTGTAGGTATCAACGCGCTAAATCCGTCCAGAGGACCCGTCGATACCCCCATGTTGAGGAAGGCATATGAGATTCGAGGCGCACCAGTCGATTACTCATTCCTTCCGCTAGGAAGGGAAGCACATCAAACGGAGATTCCGCCGCTTATCGAGTTCCTCATTTCGGATGCGTCGTCGTTCATGACTGGAACTGCTACGCCGATTGATGGTGGGTGGTATTGCTAGATTCAGAGCGAAGTTTTACACATGCAGCCAGGCTTTTGAGCCGAGGTTCTTGGAGATGCGATACTTTTCTCTTTCGTAGAGTATCTCCTCGCGTATCAGTCGTACGAAATACGGGAGGTGTGGTTGGCTCGTCTTCTCTGGGTCATCGCAGCTTTTGAGCCGATCATATCAAGCCTAGTATGATGTGAGTAGGTTGAATCAAGCGGAGAGGAAACAAATCATAGCATTGGATAATCCATTTTAGCTCCTAAAATTCCAGCTGCAGATCTATCAGCAATGTCTTCCCCCGAATCCTGTACCAATTTCGCTCATGATCTATTGTTCTCCAACATGCAGCCCGTCCAAGTAGCTAAGAACCCGCATCACGTACGGGTCGCAATCATGAGACCAAGCTCCTTGCGGCCACCATGGACTCATATCTCCATTGCTCCAGTGAACCGGGATAACGAACCATGTCTCGGCCTCTTCCGCCCAGACATCGATGTGACCAAACTGCCGGATAGGAATCACCTCGGAAGTCTGAGCAAACCAGTTCAACGGTCTTGAGTCGTGTGTTGAATTGACCTTGGTAGCGCAATTGCTCGAGCCAGTCGACCACCGAGACAAAAGGCGCCGTAATTGTGAGATATTCGAGCGAGCGAGGGAGCAACTGGTGTATAGGGACGGATTGATGCTGCTGCCCCAGGACACCAAAGTCAGCGCCGAGAAGTAGCATTTGCGGAAGAGATAGCAGGGTCAGCGCTTGGAAAGCACAGAAGCTAGAGAATGGGCTGACGTAATGCAGAAAGCTCGAGTCAAGGTCTTTATATACATCAATCCACAACCTGGTTAGAGTTTGTGATAGTGAGCTTATCCGCTTTAGTACCACGTCTGCGTGGCCTTCTCCCGGTGTTCCGATTATGTTAATATTCTCGTGGTAGCGATCCGACTCCTCGTCATCTTCTGCAAAGCTGTAGTCTGGGTTGTACCACTGGTTGTTGAGGTATAGCTTGACTTCGCGCAAGCTGGGATATAGATTGGAGGAAACAAAGCAGTCTTCGAGTGCCCGACACGAGTCGATAGTATTTGGGCTTAGCAATAAAGTAGAGACTTCCAATACAATGTTCTGCACATTAATACCGGGCGATGGTATTTCGTTCTGGGTCTGCGCTCGTTTGAGATCAGGACAGCGGCACTCGTGTGATATCTTGAGGGTCTGCAGTTTCGGTAAGAAAATCCAGCTCGATGCTATATCGTAACCGAGATAATACAGAGTCTGTAAGCGACACAATCCAGGAATGGCGGTGAGATCGAGTGGTAGAAGAGCCGCCGAGTCGGACGTCTCCTCAAGGTATCCGAAGAGCCCTTCCAGGGGTTGGCAACGGTAGCGATAGTAGCTATCATAAGTGGAAGCGGTAGTAAAGCCAATGTCGGATAGGATTTCAATCGTCAGGTTTCGTAACTTCGGGACGATTGTGAGTATGAGTCCTGTCCACGCTACGCCATCGCCTGCTTCCAACCGGCGCATCCAATCCCCAACGCGATTGGCCCAGGGAGCACTATGAAGGCCGATCTCTCGAAGACAGCCGGCAGCACAACTCATAGCGTCGGGATGAACGACGAGTTCAGCACCGTCCTTGGATGCTGATACTGATAACAGACGGACTTTCGGAGCCAACTGAGGGTGATGAAGCAGTGTTTGAGCAAATGTGAAAACGCGATTTCTCATGGCGATGGGGTTTTGATACTCCTCGCTGTAGGGCCTTCCTATCACGGGTGCATTGTAGAGTATGTCTTCTGCGGTGCTTGAGAGCTTTTGGCATGTCGATGCTAGACTGTAAAGATTGGACTGGGGAAGGTAACGGGCAACGGAAAGCAGGAGCTCGGATGGTAGACCCTTGAGGTTTGGCATCATTAACGAAGTCTTGTTGCCAGAGTTTGGTGTTTTGGTATCGAATGGCGAAGCGGATGGAGTCGATGAGAGGTATTATGCGTTACTCCTGATGCGTTTATCTCGCCTGGGCGAGAGCCCATTCGTTAGTGCTGGAGCCTGGGTGCTCCTCACTGGTGCACGTACCGATCATTGTGCGACCAGCGTTGCCTTCCATTACTTTCACTTGGTGTGTGACGTGCAAATGTTTAATCAGCCGCTGCTTCTTTAGTCGACCCCGTTCGTGTCAACTGATCGTGTAGCTCCGCGCTCATCCACCAAAACGCACACTGCAAACTCTCCACACCATGTATCCTCCAGGCCTTTCGCGCTTCGAGATTTTACCCAACGAGCTCAAGCTTCTTATCATCAATCGCATCGACACCAGCAGCCAAGCTTCTTTAGCGCGTGTATCGAAGACCATCCACCCTGTCGTCGAAGAAGTGCTCTACAAATTGGTCTGGATCGAGAAGCCAAACACCACGATGATCGTGTTCCCTATTGCGAGCTTCGTAAGAACAATCCTATCGCGCCCTGACTTGGCGCATAAAGTAAAGCAGGTTACCGTAGGGGTCAGTGGATTACAAGTCTATGCCAATATGGAAATTGAAGACCTTATAGGCTTCAACGTATAATCTATCTTCACGACCCCGCACGTTGAGATAAGTAGGATAACAAAACCAATACACCACATTCCTCACGCGTTCGGGACTAGTTGTTCGGAAGATCTTGCTAAGTGACGAGAAGGCGGTTATTGGTAGAAATAGACGGCCATGTGATTGGGAGAGCGCTTTCGGGATCTGTCTTTTCTGGCTCTTCTCCATTATTATCGTACAATACCATCTCCTCACCCCAGCCATCTTCTTCACCAACGACTCAGACATGAACCTCACGCCCTAGGCTCCTTCCCACCAATCTGATCACTCTCCCTAACAAAACCCCCCTTACCCTGCCCAGGCCGAATAACCTGCCCCTGATTCTCCTGCTCAGCCGCCCACTTCTTCAGCGTATCCAACCCCACACTCTTCAACGCACTCTCATGCGTCGACTCCAACTTGACCTTAGGCACCTCACCAATGCCCTTATCCGCAGCGCTCTTCCACGACGAAGCTTCGAGGCAATATCTTTGTCCTGGGCCTACACCAGCTTTTCGCAGGTCGGTACCGTTTGAGGTGCTGAAGTCTAGGAAGCTGTTGGTGAGGATGGCGGCGATGGGGTTGCTGCTTGTGCACATTCCGGCGTTGATGGTGGAGGGGAGGTTCGAGGGGGTTTTGGACTCGGCGGAGTGCTTGTGGAGGGGTGCGTTGAGGACTGTGCTGTGTTAGCTAGTTGATCATGATGGAAGTGTAGAGATGACTTGACGTGCCGTTCTTTTGAGTGACGTCCATCTTTCCTTGTTGGTTCTTGCCTGACATCTTGAGGGAGTGTCTATTGAGGTTTGCGAGGTTTCAAGAGTTTTGGATGTGGTTGTGAAGTTGAATGGCTACTTGATGCTGGCGTAGAGTTGGAGATTTGGTGGAGGTTGGAATTCGTATGCAGTTCCCAGATGTAAGTATGAATGCGATCAAAACTGACGTCAATTGAACCGTTTTGTTCCTGCATTTCTACGCTTTACTCGGTTCGCTCAAGGCACGATCCAACAATGATGCCTCCATTACCTCCTCCGATGAATGTCTTGACGTCAGCGATATCTAAGCGTCAGAGCGTATTTTGACGTCGTAGCATTGTTCCATTCGAAGTGTAGACGCATATGTAAAGACAGACTTCCTTTTTGGAGCTGGGCGCCCGGACAGATGTAGTCGCATACTGTGGTAGGAGATTCCTTCCTCAGATACCCTTTCAACACAACCCATGGGTTTGCCCTAGTCTCGATCAATACTAGCGTCATCTTCACATCTCCGACCGTGCGCATGCATACACACCCACCTTGCACTGCATTTCGAACCACCACACCACCCGTGGTAGTACTGCATACGCATTTATTCACCCACCTCCCCATAGTCACACCGCTCCTCCAAACTCTGGGTCCTTCTCCTTCGTCACTTCGGCCGCGCAACACAATACTTGGCAAGCATCACACTGTTACAAGTCGGCCTTTCGCAAACACCGACATGCCGACAGCAGCCTGTGCACTCGCCCAAACGCTCACTCCCTCACTGAACCATGGCCATCGGCCAAACGCAGAACTAGCACCCAGCCTCGCACACGTGTTCAAATGCCATGGCTTCCGTCACCTGGTGCGAAAGTGACGGAGATCCAAGTCAGTGAGTCCTGTTCTCTTTTCACCGAGGACAGGCCGCATGATGGCAAGTGCCACGCCGTCATTTGCCTCATGAACTTAACAGATTAGCCACGGCTAGATGAATCGATTATGAGTGGAGACGACGGCTCCATCTGAGTCGTTTGGGAAATGACGTCGACCTCGTCATTCTATTGTGCCGCGTTCTATTGCCAATTCCTCATCTCACGACGAGCGTTTGGCGAACACATAGTAGTCCGCCGGCAGTTTAGCGAAGAGGATCACTAACGGTGTGGGAAGGTACAGGGCACATGCCTGCTCGAGCACTTCAAACCCCTCAAGGGAAGGAAGAACGCATAGCCAGTTCAATGCAGCTGCAGGTCGATCGCAAACGTAGTGCATGGTCTTTTTGAAAGAAGAATGCAAAAAACAAAACCTATAACGGCGGTCACGAACGACGATCTTGCGGCATTGATGCGGATGTAGTGTATGTGCGAAAAACGGAAATGTTCGCATGGTCGCAATTGCTGAAATGTCAATTGCGGGGAAAGTTACTGCAAGAACTAAATTGACTTGCATGAAGTAGAAGGAAGAAACGCAGGTTGACGTCGCGGATGGCTGCATGCCAATCTAGGCCCTTAGGCACGACGATCCGGGGAAATGCGCGGGTACGATGGTGTTGGACTGCATTCGACCCACGCGTGATTGAACGTGTTTATATGAATTATCTGTCTATCAATGCATTCGAACTTGCTAGGCTGATATCGCTGTCCAATCATGCCTTGTATGCGCAAGAATCGAGCCTCAAAGCCTCTTCTTCCTCTGCCACTTCTTGTCAAGAAACGCTAATCC